TAAGCTCACAATACAGATATCCCAATGCGCACTGTTGACCCTATGACTTCAATGTATTCAAACTCGGGCTCGGGTAACATTCTTTCCAACGGAAGTTGGCATTTACCATGTTTATATATATATTTATCCACACTAACAGAAATATTCACACTAATAGATATAGCATGATCATAATATAATCATGATTTGCCAATACTGCACTGGTAGCAATATTATATGTTTAATGTAAAAAAGGTCATGATTTATAACAAGGTCTCCGCTAGGATTATAACCTTGGACCACAGCCTTACTAGTCTGACGTTCAACCGATCATTGCGATAACAAGTTATTTCTTTAATATATCATGGTCAGTATTTGACCAGGGTTACTTGTCAATATACAAAAACATTTCATATACATTCATATTTACACTATGGCAGACAAATCTCGAAAAAAAATAAAACGAAAACAATGCTGGAGCAAAATGAATGCAACTTATGGCGGAATTCGGTTCCTGCATCTTCGGGGTTATTTTTCTGCACATGGCACTAACTATTCAAGAGAAGAAACTCTGTCGTGACTTCTTAGAAATTAGAAACGAAAATAGTTTTATTTCTGATGAAAAAGGAAAGCGCATCAAAATCGGCCGACTCAATACAGGCGTCATATCGTATCCCCTATCATAAAAGTATTTTTCTTTTTTTGTCCATCAGACAAGTATAAAGTATCCCCCATCTTTAGATCAATACTTTAAGTTTATCTGTTTTACAAAGGTGGAGTCGACATGTCAACGTATATGCGAATTTAACATTAGCATCCTTCCAGTGCATTATCATGAGGCAATTCCAATAAATTATGTCATTAATATGTGCACATTATATCAACCAACATTTTGATACCACATATCACACTATTTCAGGAGAAACGTTTCTTTTATGTACACTACTAGTGACGGGTTTTGCCTTTGTCAGTTCCGATCCATAATTTGTGGCAATTTGAGAATCTGACACGAGATAGAACAGTTGCAGTTTGAAGCACATTACATTGCGTTTTAGTATAGCAGAACTGCTCAAGTGATTGCTTGTTTGAACTTGAGTGTTGCATGGACTGGGTTAGTTTAATCTTGATGCTGAACATGTCCCAAGAAATACAAAATGCACGTAACACGTGCACACATTCCAACGGTTCGCTTGCCCTCTGGACAGACACAGTAGTAATATCTGACAGGGTCATCTTGATTATTTCTGTCAAACGCAATCCACACATTGTATTTTGAATGTGATTTGTGCCTTTGATGGATTTGGCTTCGGAGAAGATTTTCATCATGCTGATAGACCCAAACTCTCCAGCAGGAGTCAGATGCTCAGCAATATATCTCAACTTCTTCAAGGTCACCCAATGCATTGAAACAGTAGTCTTCAATGCCGTGTTGTGGTAGGAGGGGAAGGACAGCACGGCGAACAAGTCAGTGGATCTCTTCGTTGTCTCTGTAGTGCGTCTGGAGTCTTAGTTGTTGGGCCTTTCTCCAAATGCACCGGGTAAAGTGAAAGAAACATCCTTTCACTGTAATCCATGGGAATACGGCTTTGGTGGCGTTCTGGGCAGCAGATTCAAAGTCCCTGAAAATGACGGTCGGGTTAAATTGAAGATGTAGACCCTCCATTGTAGCTTTCAGATTCTCCAACATTCTGGTGTATTTGATCTGTGATTTCCATGGTAACAATGCAAACACAAGCGGGTCCATCTGGTAGTCGATCTCGGCATGGATGGTGTATAGTTGAGTGACGAACCTTGGACATGTGTAGAATGTTCCATCACAATACAAAGTGCCAGTCGCCGACAAGATCTCCAGGCTATTGGTTGTGGCTAAAATTCTCGAATTGTCACTGTTGTCGTCAAAGAGCAGAAATTGGGTACCTATATTGGTTTGTGTCCACTCGTCCTGTAGGGCGATATCTGTGGCTAAAGGTCAGTAAACTTGGATGAAGCTTTGCTCTCCTGTGATATAGGGATGTCTTGCAGGAGGGGAAAGTCGGTATCTGTTCCACCATTAGTTGTTTGTCAGCTGTCCAGTCAGGCGTCTGAAGCACGGCGATTTCTTCTTCGCCATAGATGGCAGGTACTTCTTCATCGTTGCATCTCTTCTTTATGTTGTCCATGGCTTCCCGCACTTCTACTTCAAAGCGGTTTGGTTGGTGGTTGTGCTGTTGACTCATCTTTACTGGAATGTCGTTGGTAGTGTTCATTGTGGCAGGGCAAGTTCGAATGCAGCATCTCACTAGGTTGTTTCTCGGTAGTTGTTCTTTACCATATAGCTGAATCCGACTTGATGAAGTTGGAATCCATGATATTTCATTAAAACTTCAGTGATATATGTAGCGGGCGGTGTTGTGCCAAAAAAACAAAACCGCTGGGTTCGTTCAATGTTTAATCGATTGATCGATGTAAAATAGACATTCTGGAATATACAATAAAACATAACCACACACTCTCATTACTTCACAAATCTCTCGAAACATATTCAACAATTCATTTCATCGAGTGAAACAATATTATTACTTCTACATTTGAATAAAATATAAGATCCAATAAAATACTTTACAACATGACAGTTCCAATAGTAATAATGTAAAATCACACTTACAACACGTATCGTGCGCTAACGTACAAGTCATATATAAGTTCACAACACTCAAAAATCACCTCGTCGTCAGTTATATATAACAAGCAAGAAATGCAGAACGCGTAAAGGATTTACGAATATTATAATATATATATACATCGTTTATTCCAAATATTACCCTGAACGTTCAGTTACCGTTAAAACATTATTGCAACAATTGTATTGTTCATACAAACACTCGTCACTCACAATGAGACTATATTAGAAGAAATACTTACCATAAAGACGAAACCCGAGAACCTGACATTTGAACACCCGTCTAACCCGCAAGCCAGGATTCAAATGTACCCCGATATAGTAAAAGACAAAAGACGTATACCAAGGAGAAACTTTCAACCAATCAAACAACTCCATCAAGGTCCGTCACGTTGTCTTGTGTCCAGTCGGTCAGTGAACACTACTCACGTACACATGTACATACATATACACTACACAAAGGGACGCGCTCGCTAATACGTATAAACGTTACGCGCGCAGGTAAAACGTGACACTAACGATGTGTTCGCGATGATAAATAATACCCACATGTACATAACCAGTGCACACACACACATATATATACCAGAATACAAAATATAGATACTACATAAATCAGTACCAATATACAAAATACGACCCTATTACATATATATATTCTATACGAGCTTGGGTGTTCACTTCAAATACTCACAAGCTCTCACTCCAAGCTTGGGTGTTCACCTCAATGTACTCAACTCATCAGCAGCTTCATTACTCACAAGCTCTCACTCCAAGCTTGGATGTTCACCCCACCATCTTTTTGGTGTGAAGTGTTCATATTGACATCCAGTAATGAGAATTTCTTATTTACTAATTGAAGAATAAAAATTATAAGTGATAGTTTAAAACCATTGATAAAATATTTAATTATAAATTATGAGTTTATAGTAATTACAATTATTAAATTAGAAACACATTTATAAATCTTCAATTAACTTTGATTTTTATTCAAAATATTTAGGGAAAAAATATATTTATTGTGGGTATTTTTTCCATCTCTCAATTACATTTATCTATATAATATCACATGTCACATCCTATTTACCTGTATTATTGGGGACAAGTTACCTGTTGAAACAACACCTTGGGACACTAGCCACTATAACAACAAACATACTATTGGGACATTTAGGAATTATAATCATTCAATTTAGGGACAGTCAGGAATAAAACCTTTTGGTAATTACTTACCTGTACAGGAATAAGATATTATTTTCAAATCTAAAGGTTACAATAATATACACTTACTAGATATGCTTGCAGGGGCAGAGGATGGGAGTTGGGAATGTTAGAAGAATGATCTAGAACATCAATTAATTTTTATGTTTAGCAGCTATTCAGTGAATTGTTATATAGAACCGGAAAAATCTTATCCTGTGATTCTAGGAGGTTTATTGCACATAGGATTATACTTACATTGATTAAAGAAACCAAATGGTTAGAACTTCAATTCATAACCAATAAAAAATTTAAATATCTGTTAAAAATTGTGTACTTTCTGTTATTCTATAATATGTTTTATTAACAACGTCCAATTTTAAATAAAATAGGAGCGATCTAACATTAATTCATATCATTATAATTTGGAGAGTGTAAACAATGCCTTTGCACGTGCAATTTTAAATTCAGATTAATTCAAATTCATTTATTTCACCTGTCACGCATACAGCGTGAAACAAAAGGTCATCTTACAAAGTAGGAATTGAAACATGACTGGCAAATTAAGATCTGACTAATTGCATAATCATACATAGTAAATCATATTAAACCCGCCGGTTAAAACGAGGTTCCGAAAGGTCACGTCATGAACTCGGCCATCTCTGATCTAAACAGTGATGGGTGATAGACAAAACAGCGAGTGTCAACTAGAGTTAGATTGAAGCTGACACTCTTTATCATTGTAGTCTAATTTTAAGTATTACAATGCCTGCATGTAAATCAAAGGCATGGGAAAAATAACAAAATCTAACCGTTTAGTCCTTTTTATCAGATCAAAAACTCAAGAGAAGCACAAAATGCCCCAAGAAGGGATCTGCAAGGCATACATCTTGGATATTCACATTAGATTTAAAAGCTCCATGAAACTATTGTTGTCTCTCTTTGAATTTCAAGCTTAAAAAGGTTTCAAAAGCAAACAAGCAAACCACTGGCGAGTCATTCATAGCAATGCCAAGAAATGCAAACATGGGTCTTTTACGAGAAATTTGACATTTTTCATTTTTGACCTCAGGAGTTTTGAATGTAGGTCAAGGAATTGACTAACCAACAACCTTGACCTAATCATAATAAGCTGATCAATAAATAAACACAAAAAATGACATGAATTTGCATAACAAGAATTTATTTCATTTTCCTGATCTGACCACAATCCTTGGAATACACGTTGGTCAGAAAACACACCCTGTTTCTTTCATTTCTAATATTATGGAAAGGTAGGACATGTTTTCTATTTTTCAATATTTTTTAAAGAATACATGTATTTTAGGCATAGTTAAAAAAGAGATAACGAGCAAATTGTAACACTACCATTCTCATGACTCTGGATGTCATGGGATGGGCTTATTATTATTATATAAATGAAATAATTTCATATTCACTGAACACCAATAAATGCTGGCAAGCTTATTACCTGATATGGGCTTATTGCAAGAAAAATATGGTTTTAAGTGTATAGCATACCAAAGGCCAGGCTATCTTTTTCTACTGACCAGGAAAACCAGAGATGGACAAACACAAATTGACGTTTGTACAGATGGATAAATACAATCCAAAGAATTACCTGGTAACTATAGTCTGTGACTTACCTTAGCCCAAACCCAACTGTCACAGTACTCAAATCTGAGATCAATTTGTTCTGATCACAACCAGATATTTGATTTTTTAATTGAACACATAAGATTTGACAAAATAAATATCTGAGCTCTTACTTTCATTCTATTGTGAAATTTAAGGTCAATATATGAAATTATATAATAGAAAGTGAAAGTATATAAATCTCTTTCTATCACAACAGGCGAGCGTTATTTAACTCCCAAGGCCTCATTTAATCATCAGAACTGTTTTAGAAACATGTAATACCACATGTGGTATAACAATTAGGCTTGTTTTGATTGGCCGACAGGATGAATTTAGACTGAAAGGGCACTTCACCAACTAACAGAAATGAAAACATGGAGAAAGTAGTTTATTCATTATTGTTTTCAAAACAATTTGATTTTCATTTTTTTTTTTTTTCATTTTGAAGATAGCAAAACTTTTGACTTTTATACATGGTATTTCTCTCACTCTTGTTTGTTATTTTCCAAAAGTTACAAAATTACTTGATCAAGCTTGTGTCTTTTTGTAAATGCTGAAAAATAACTTACTCGAATGAATGCCATACAATGTATTAAAACCACTCCTTGTGTAACCTCTTTCTCCTTCAGTCAATAACTTCAATACGGTACAAAAAAATGCTTTATGCCAAAAATAAACATCGTAAAACAAATCTTGGTAAAAACATTAATTTTGTAATTGATTGTACTGTTTTATACACTTCGAGTTACGTTTTTATGGTAGTGTGATATTCAAAAATTATGTCAAATGTCCATCACCTGATAGTTTTGGAAAGGGAAGCAGTTCATTTTGAAAACATGAACACATGATGGATGGCAGAAATGACAGTGTCAGTAGTGACACAGTCAGTAAAATTCTGTTTTTCAACACTGGCTTTTGTTATTGATTGGCAAATGTTATTTGGAAACTCAAAGTCAATAAAAAATTATGAACTAACATTATCCCGAACAATTTCAGAAGGGAAGCCTTTTTTAGTGTGCATGCGTTATTATATATGATGCAAACATTTACATATCTAGACTCTACAGATCAGGATTTTTTGCTTTTTATACATATTGATTAACCTCTTTAAGTGCATATTTTAGTGAAAACCAACTGTCGTTGTTTATAAGGTGATATACTTAATATAAATAAACACAATAATAACAAAATCAGTCAAAAAAAAAAAGTTTTACCATGATGTTGCTTTAGCCGAGAAACAGACCGAAACATAATGTCTAACCAATGTGTATTGGATAGATCAATGAAAGGACAGACAGGCGGACAGATGGACAGACCAGGTGAATGCTCATGCTCAGTTCATTAACACAATATCACAGACATCACAACGGATATAAACATTCAATTAATCATGAATTCAGGGTTTCAAGATTTCATAATTATAACAAAAAAATCACAATCTAGGACTAGCCTGTTGGAGACATCAGCTGTTCAGAAAGAAAGTTAACAGTAAACTTTCATCAACATTTGTAAATATTCTGCATCCTTATTTAAAAAAGATGATTTTAACAACTTTCTCCAATTAAGAGAAAAAAAATGCCGTTGATAAATCTACACTGTACCATTGTTTTTGATATCAATTATATCTACAGTGTCCATGCTGAGTAGCTATGACAATACAAATAATGATTAGATATGAGATGTAGTATCATCAACATGGTAAACAAATTTTTATTTACTTTCCCTTTTTTAAAGCAATCTATGATATTAGCAGTGTGATTCATAAAGATAAAAAAAAACCCAACTTATGTTATAATCACATACATTAAGAAAGAAACAATTCTAGGCATTGATATTTCATTCGGAATGCAAAGGTGATGAGATATTAAAAAAAAAAGAAATAAGTTTATCAGTTTATATCTAAATGGCAGATCACTAAGCCAAGTTTGGTTCACCTCTAAATGACCAAATATTAACTCAACTTAGCCTGTTGATGCTTATCTGCTAAAATAGACAGACTTGTCTTTTCCCTGTTCAAAAACTATTATGGTTCCACAAAGTAAATACTGCACCTATCAGGAAATAAGATGTGTCTTTTTATGCAAATCAATGACTATCACAGTTGAGACATATAAGTGTGCTGATTACAATTAATATTTCCATTCCTGACACAACAAATGTGGATGGCTTTGGAAATTTGACTTTAAGGCTGTATGCTACCTTGGTAATGTGATATGTATGGTACTAAGGATATAAGCTACACTGTAAGGCTTTACATGACATTGCTGCAAGAGGTTTAGTATTAATGTTGTAATTGGTACTATATTCTATTGTATACCTCTTTCCAAAAGGAGTTCCATCATTCACCAGTGAAAGATCTTTTATGAAGGTAAAAAAGACATGGATGAGGAAGACAAATCTGACATATAACACAGGTAGCATATATCCTCAACAGATGTTTACAGAGCCCCACTAATGAGCACTACTTGGAGGAATATTCTAAACTTTGTGACAGTATAAATGCTTAAATGTACAGAACCGATATCAGTCCAAGGGAAAAACAATCACATTTTCAAGGATCACCAAAATTCATCAAAATCACTATCGCTATCCATGTCGCCTAGTGTAAGATTTAGCAATAAATTATCTAACTCCTCTTCTAGTTCTAAAAGCAGCACTCTGTTTTCTCTCTCTTCAAAGAAATCCCATAAACTTATTTGAGACACCAAGTCTATATCTCCTTCAGCATTTTGCCTTCGTCTTCGTTGTCTTGGTTTTGGTGCTGCTACTGAACCATCAGCATTTGCATGTAGATAGAAGCACTTATCATTGAACGGACATTCACCTTCTCCTTTCTTGAAATACATACAGTGTTTAGCACTGAAACAAACAAAACATTTCTTCAATAATAACAAATGTTTCATCATAGGAGCCTAAAAACACAATATGTCACATAGGGCCAAATAATGTATGTAAAAACATCAAACTAATAGATGCCAAATATTATTATAAAACAAAATAAAAATCACTTGATAAAACGCTTAATTTAACACATGAAACAACAAAACCAAATAAAATACATTAGTATCCCCGGGACGGGGTGCAGAAAGGGACATTAATAGTAGAATGAAGAGAAGGTGGGCAGATAGGGACAACAAGATGCCCATTGGGCATGCACTGGTCACCAGGTATTCAATGTTCATCAAAAGTAGAATCAATGTTAATATCACAAATATATTGACATGTACACTACTGGCATGCAAAGTAGGCACATCGTATCAATTTTAACCAATTTGACAACAAATAGCTTACAATACACAATTTTAAACAGTGACAGTTATTACTTGGATTATAGGTAAATGCAACTTCTTTTTTTCTCAAAATTTGTTAAGATTGCTAGACATTATGGGTGACAGTAATGGTTGGGTGAGGGAAAAGGGGAAGTGAAGGACATCATAAGATTTCTAGACATTATGGGGGACAGCAATGGTTGGGTGAGGGAAAGGAGAAGTGAGGGACATCAGTTGTTAAGATTAGATAAACAAGAGATCCCAGAGGGATCTTGGCGCCCACCATTTGAGGATCTGTTTTCAGTTCTTGAAGATTTGTTTATTTTTTTTTGTTTGTTACAGGTGTTGTAAATGTTCATGAACTGGTCTTCATTGAATGTACTCAATGATGGCACAAGATATTTTTATTAAACACCTATTAGCAAATATCATTTGAAAAAGATCCCAAAGTATTATTAGACAGCAGTCAGTTACAGGTGGATAATGGACAATATGCTTGTGCTGTATTACTATCAAAATCCAAGATGGCTGCCTAGGGGCCACCTTGATTTCAAATCAGTCCAAAAAAGGTACAATGCACAACTAGGGACCAAGGGAAACCAATATCTATGAAATATCAGAAGGATCCATGCAGTACTTCCTCAGATATAGCAGTAACAAGACTTTGCTCTCAAAATCCAAGATGGCTGCCTGTCAGCCATCTTGATTTCGGATCAGTCCAAAAAGGTATAATGCACAACTTGGAACCAAAGGGAACCTGCATATGAAATTTGAGAAAGTTCCATCCAGTACTTTTCAAGAAATAGCAGTAACAAACTTTTACATTCAAAATCCAAGATGGCCACCTGTCATCAGAATATCAGAAGGATCCATGCAGTACTTCCTCAGATATAGCAGTAACAAGACTTTGCTCTCAAAATCCAAGATGGCTGCCTGTCAGCCATCTTGATTGCATATGAAATTTAAGAGAAATAGCGGTAACAAACTTTTACTTCCAAAATCCAAGATGGCCACCTGTCGTCTTGAATGAGGATCAGTCCAAAAAGGTACAATGCACAACTAGGGACCAAGGGGAATCTGCATATGAAATTTAAGGAAGATCCATCCAGTACTTTCTCAGAAATAGCGGTAACAAACTTTTACTTCCAAAATCCAAGATGGCCACCTGTCGGCCATCTTCAATGAGGATCAGTCCAAAAAAGGTACAATGCACAACTAGGGACCAAGGGGAAACTGCATATGAAATTTGAGGAAGATCCATCCAGTACTTTCTCAGAAATAGCTGTAACAAACTTTTACTTCCAAAATCCAAGATGGCCACCTGTCGGCCATCTTGAATTCTAATCAGTCCAAAAAAAGTACAATGCACAACTAGGTACCAAGGGGAAACTGCATATGAAATTTGAGAAAGATCCATCCAGTACTTTTCCAGAAATAGCGGTAACAAACTTTTACTTCCAAAATCCAAGATGGCCACCTGTCGGCCATCTTGAATGAGGATCAGTTCACAAAAGGTACAATGCACAACTAGGGACCAAGGGGAACCTGCATATGAAATTTGAGAAAGATCCATCCCGTACTTTTCCAGAAATAGCGGTAACAAGAATTGTTTACGGACGAACGGACGACGGACGCAGGGCGATTTGAATAACCCACCATCTATTAGATGGTGGGCTAATAATGATGGTTGGGGAGGGACACACAGGAGAGCTACAGAAAACCCCCTCCTCCTTCCATCATAACATGCTGTGATAGGTTACCTTAGAGCTTTCTTATAGCCTTGTATTAGCTTTTTCTTCTCCTCCTCACTTTCCACCCAGTATTTACTAGGAGTGACGAAGTCAGAGGTTACACGACATTCTGGGCAGGCCCTGAAACAGTACAACATCATATGAGAGAAGTCTACCAAAGAAATTAAAAAACAACGGATAAAGTACCTCTAGAGATATAACAATGATAAAAGACAATTCACAGATAATTGACAAAACGGCAATAATTACCATTAAATACAGATGAGCTAAAAATGTCCAATATCTTTTTGAATCTACAAATGTAATACATAAAATCCATCTTATTCGTGATATGTCGCCCTTTGCCTCTGAAATGTATACAAAGTATACAATGTCATCAATAGAATCTCCCATTTGCCATAAATATTTCATTTTACTTCACTAAAGGTTTGGTAAAATGAAAAATTCTGAGACATATTTCAGAAATCTCCCAGGAATGGAACCTCAAATTTCACAAGTGGCCAGAGGACCTTTTTCTTTAACTGCTAACCAAGCTCTGTATAAGCTATAGTTTTTGTTATATTTGACATATTATAGAAATCATTTTATCAACAGAGTGAGATAATTTGGACAGCATTATACATCAAGAAATGTAAATGAAATACTGTGTATGTGCACAACTATAACCGCCATCCCAAGTTAAAACTTTGATTAACTAAGTATGAATTATTTCCATTCCAAATTAAACAAATTATCTTCAAAACTAAGCTTCTTACATTAAACTGAAGACCTTCCATATAGGGTAATGCGAGACCCTTACATCATGAAATTCAGTCAAGCATCTCAAGGCTCTCCTATCCAAGAACAGAATTTGATTCTAGCTATCTGGGCCTTTTAAATTTAAGTCAAATTAAACACTTTCAGCCTTGCCCTTTAGGCCCCTGGGAGTCAGCTAGGGTCAATGTGTGTACCAGCAAACACATATCCTATGCTAGTAAATCTTAAAAAGTTTGACTTATTTTTATTGGAAATTTGATAAATAGTGGTAAAAATGATTATCCTATATAAACTATAGAATTAATTAATTTTACGATATCTGGATCTGCAGGAGATATTTCACAGTTCAGTCAATTTGACCTGGCCATCAGGTCCCTGGGGAGAGACCATACAATTCACAATTTTGGGTTACTTTTGGATATGGAAGGTCTACAAAATTTCAATAAAATTAGTAAGGGGTTTCCAGAACAGGTAAAAAATGTCAATTTTTCATGGACACTTGAGGGATAGCAGACAAAAAGCCATTGCAAAAGGTCAGAGACTTCATCTCAAGAGACCAAAGAATTCATACCTAACAATTTTATTTTCAAATTGCCTGGCACCCCTCCACTTGCGAATACAACTGAGACAGAATATATGATTACAGTTGGACAGTATTCCAAAACGTTGCTCTGTTGGGGGCTCCTTTTCTAGTATGGTGTCCATACAGATCCCACACACTTTGTCTTTGCTTAGGGCAATAGCGAAAGACAACTCCATATCCTTTTCAAGCTGTTTCATGCATTCCTGTAAACAAGGAAATACCATAATTTTTGCTTCATACATTTTTATATTGCTGTACTGTATATTACAACATTCCTGAACATACAAGTAGAATTTAACATTTCAGAAATTTTACTTGGTACCTACCGTACATTATGCAAGCTTAGTCTAGCTATTTTGGTATCCAATATTTACAGGAAGTTTCATATAAATTAATCTATAAATAAAGATGAGAAGATGCTAATAAGGAAATGTCAATGGACAAAGGATGTCACAGTATGTCATAATCTCAATTGGTCCTTTGATCCAAGCAAGATAATAATATATAACATATGGACAGACAGTATTTCTAGCCACTGTGACCTTAACCTTAACGTCAAATGTATGACATAAAGAGGAACTTGTTAAAGACATAAAGATTTTAACAAGTTTTACTAAAATGCATCTTAAAACATGCTTGATAGAAAATGGTTTAAAAATGAACAGATGGATGAATGGACCTGTCAAATACATTAAAGCTTTTCCTTGATAGGTGGTGAAAAGAAGAATGAAAAAAAATGTTTAAAAAGTGAAAAAGGTCCTGTTTACTTAGTTACAGATCCTTACACTGTTGTGTTTCTCCCGCTGATCATGATCAGACGGATGAAGCACTGGCATACCACACACTTCACATATGTCCCCATGTATGTAGGCACATTCCTCATCATAGGGACAGTGACCTTGGGCAAAGAAAGGGCAGACTAGTTTGGACAAATCACTGTAAGGGTCCATCCCTTCCTGTATGATAAGTGGTTTGGGGTTTTCACTGCCAATTTCTACGGCATTAGAGTAGGAAAATGGAACTGAAATAAAGAACAGAACTTTGAACTGACACATCACCATAAAAAAATACATCTGCCTGATGTCCTAGTGATAAGTTACATGACTAGAAAATAATTGATATCCATAAAAACTTCAAGAAAAAACTTCAGTGTTTGTATAGATTACTGTGCTTATCCACAACACATTTCTGTTACCTGAATTCAGCTGGCAATAAACCCTTGCCTGATAATTATTAGCCTATCCATATCTATTGCTGTTTTGTAAGACTGCACACTGATGATATCTTACCTTCTTCCAGCAAGCCCGTCCACCCACTTTCAGTCATAATTTATCATTCAACCACTTTTATTCAGAAGAACCAGAATTAGGACACACCTACTTTTACTCAGAATTTATCATCCACCCACTTTGTGACAATTCATAAATACATGTTGGCCTTCTGAACATTTTAAAAACACAGTAACTCTGACTCAGGTGATGAGGTTATTTGTGTATGTTCCTGATCAGCAATAGATATGGGTAGGCTTATCACTAAGCATGGAAATATTGCAGGATATATTAAATATACCTTTAGCCTGAATTTTGTTTAAACAGTTCAATCCTGACTGAATGCATGAATCTAACATTTTTTATTGTTCATTACAATAAGTACCTGGTAGTAGAATCTACCTAAAGAACAGAGATAGATCAAATCAAAATTGTCTAAAATATAATGATATGGTTGGTCACTGGCTAGCTGCAAAATTTGCCAGATGAGCTCTGAACACAAATATTTGAACAACATAAAAAGCACAAGTACATGGCTGGCCAACTACAAAGTATAACTCATCTCACATATACAGTTGTTATGGTAAAATAATTACCTGAAGAACACTGATATGGTTGACCAGGCACAAACTCTGTGGCTTTGACCCATTCATCTGGAGGCCTTGGAGAGGAAATTGATACAACATCAACATCCTGTTTTGATTTTTTTAGAGATACCATATTGCCGAAGGGTTTTGTATCTACACAAGTTATGGGTAGAGGTCTGTTTGATGGAGTCGTCCGCATATTCTCAAGCACATTCGAACCTGGAATCTTAGACTTTGGTTTCACGTGGTCATATCTGAAACAGACCCAGAATATGTATTAAACAACCTGCATTACTACTATCATTGATGTGAATTATGAAAAATGTTCACCAACAATCAATATACAAACAGAGAGGGTCTAATACTAATGATTGAAGTTTTCAACAATTCTTCTTGCTAGTAGATACCATTTCACATAGCACAACTACATGTATGATGTATCAGGGAATAACACCAGAGTTTGATAAATGAAACAAACTTTTTAACCAGTCGCAAGGCATTCAGTTTACCTTTGGCATTTGGCAATTTCAGAAGCCAAATGCAAATCTGGAGAGTCAAGACGTGTGAAATACAAAAGCTGACGAACTCAAAAAGAGTCAAAACTCAATTTGGGAGCCAAAAACATATTCTTAAGGGTCTTAAGGACACTGAATGCCTTGCAGTTGCAATATAAAAAGCCTAAGGAAATATTTCATGTTTTTCTTAATATTAGCCTAAAATATACACTATTTAACAGTGTTGTAAGTTATTGTATCTATTAATCAAAAGTATTCCTTTTTTGGGTTGAAACTAGGCAATGAAGTACTTGCTTGAAATAAATGTATACATCTTCCTAATTGTCTTCTGTCAGACAAGAGGATTTCCCTTTCTTGCTATTTAAGTAGTTGATCAATAAACATTGTCTAAATTATAACTGTAAAGTGACAACTATTTAAGACTGGTGATACACTATTCACCTGCAACCATCTCCATATGTACAGGATCCTTTGAGATAAAACCTGCAGATGCTTGATGGCTTGTCGTGACGGTCATGTGAGTAGCTACATTTATCTCCTTGCCTACACGCTCCATGTACGAAATATCTATAACAAGGAAAAATATGTTGATATACAAAAAAATTTCCAAGTATGGAAGAAGCAGTATTTTTAATGATAAAATTGAAACCAATCTCAGACATAATTTATAATGTAAAGAAATCTTCTTAATTCTTTGTAATTCAATCAATTCTGCAGTAAGAGCAGTTTAAAACATATCAGGATTTAAAGTATGGTGTGTCAAATAAAGTTTTAATATGAAGTTTTCTGAGACTTTAACAGAACATGAGGCTATAATGAGGCCTTTGTAAAAATGTGTTTGCCATCCATGAATATTGTTTCCCAATACAACTGAACATGTGGTGTTTGGTGCTGTGATGGAGGATTATATTGGTATGTAAAAATTTCAGTTTAACAAGGATATTCCCAATCTGGGTTTTGGAGTACCTTATAATATGACTTGTTTTTGCTGCTGCTATTTTGCATAATTTAATTGAGCTGCTGATGACCAAGAAAAAATAAAATCATGCATAGTTCAAAACTCTCTGGACCAGCATTATTGACACAAAACCTTTGGCTGAAAGTTTAGTTTGAGTTGAGAGACGATAAAAAATGGGGGACCAAAGGAAATTTTCCAGTCAATGTCTATAACAAGATGGTTAAACAGGTTGGGATCATCCCCTCATATGGGCAGTAGTCCTTCATTATTTGAGTAATACTTTAGTGAGTTCATGACCATTTGAAATAGCATCATAGTTCTTTCAAACATTTACAACAAAAGAAGACGTAATCTCGTCGTGTCTGTTGTTTTTGCTCTCGTCGATTTTTCGATCCGGTCATGTTCACCGTAAGACACACACGTACTGTATACAGTACAACAAGTGTCCCCTGCGGTTGACCACTTCAAGTTGAAGACAGTATCAACAAAGTACTTCTGAAAATGGCCGTTGACAACCAAAGATATCCTTTAAGTTGATATACCTGCACAACACCGTCGAACTCCAATTTGACGAAAAGGCAGTGCTTTTACCCCCCTCTGCCATGGTAGTTACATTGTTGATGCAACACCGTTTTAATCGTGCGAGTCAGGCACTTCCGGTTTGTCATTGTTAATTTCCGGTCAAAATAGAGTTGCGGCGGCATATTTGATCACCGAAGAAGATGCGGCAGCTGGAGCCTGAAGTGATGAATTTCGGTAAGTCTTTGATTTGATTGTGATGTGTAAATAAATTGATTCTTTATCACTGAAGATTTCATTGTTGTTTGGTATGAAAACTCAAAGCATAATTTCTATTTTTTCATAATTGACAATATCCGAACCATAAGTCTAACTTAGTTATCTCCCCTTCCACTTGGGATATCTTTTCAATTGATGTACTCCTAACTTCACTTTATAAATCTCCCAAAAATGCAAAGCTGTCCTCTCTTGCTACGTAATTTAAAAAGTCACTTAGTAAGAAAAAATAAATATAAAAATATAAATATTAATGGAAGACAAATTGAATGATAACAATATTTTTTCAATAGCACTGAGTATCTGCATCAGTACATATTTAGGGCAAATGAGATTAAATACAACATCAGGTGTCTGTCTGTTATTTGTTCTTCATCCATCCTGCGTCAACTTTTCCCTTTCAACAATTTCTCCTCAACAGACTCAGATCAGGGTACTTGATATTAGGCTTGTTGAGCATATAGTAGCTGGGATGAAGATGGTCAAGTTTGTTCAGAAGGGTGACCTTGACCTAATTTCAAAGTCATAGGTGTCAGATATCATAAAATATTTTAGAAACTTCTTCTCAATAACTTACAGGCTCAGTGACCTGATATTGTGTCAGTGGCATGCTGGGGATGGGATGGAAGGTTACCAAGTTTGTTTAAATGAATGGCCTTGACACATTTTCAAGATTATGAGGGTCAAATGTCTGAAAATCTTTTAGCAACATCGTCTTGATAACCAAGAAGACAGGTGTACTGATATTGTGGCAGGGATGGAGGACTAACAAGTTTGTTGAAATGAATTACCATGACCCATTTTCATGGTAACAAGAGTTGAATGTTTTAAAATCTTCAAAACAATTTTGTGTTAATACCCAAGAAACCCAATCACTGTTATTAAGAGTGTAGAATACTTGAATGAAGGGCTATCATGTTTGTGTAAATGAATGATGAGTCATTTTCATGACTTCTTCACTTTAATATATTAAAATCTTCTATTTTTCTACTTTTGAAAACATGTCAAATAAATCTGATCTTTCGTGTGGACATTCTGAACTCTACTTTTTGTCTGACTATTCTGATCTCTACTTTTTGCCTGACTATTCTGAACTCCACTTTTTGTCTGACTATTCTGAACTCTACTTTTTGCCTGACTATTCTGAACTCCACTTTTTGTCTGACTATTCTGAACTCTACTTTTTGTCTGACTATTCTGAACTCTACTTTTTGTCTGACTATTCTGATCTCTACTTTTTGCCTGACTATTCTGAACTCCACTTTTTGTCTGACTATTCTGAACTCTACTTTTTGTCTGACTATTCTGAACTCTACTTTTTGACTGACTATTCTGAACTCTACTTTTTGTCTGACTTTTCTGAACTCTACTTTTGTCTGACTATTCTTAACTCTACTTTTTGTCTGACTATTCTGAACTGTACTTTTTGTCTGACTATTCTGCACCCTATTTTTTGTCTATTTTTTATCTCACTAATATGACATCTACTTTTTGTCTGACTATTCTGCAGTCTACTTTTGGTCTGACTATTCTGATCACTATTTTTTGTGTGATTATTCTGAACTCTACTTTAACTCTTCTTTTTGTCTGACTATTCTGCACTCTCCTTTTTGTCTACTTTTTGTCTGACTATTCTGAACTCTTCTTTTTGTCTGACTATTCTGCACTCTACTTTTTTTCTGACTATTCTGCTCTCTACTTTTTGTCTGACTATTCTGAACTCTAGTTTTTGTCTGACTATTCTGAACTCTACTTTTTGTCTGCCTATTCTGAACTCTACTTTTTATCTGACTATTCTGAACTCTACTTTTTGTCTGACTATTCTGAACTCTACTTTTTGTCTGACTATTCTGCACTCTACTTTTTATCTGACTATTCTGAACTCTACTTTTTGTCTGACTTTTCTGAACTCTACTTTTTGTCTGACTATTCTGAACTCTACTTTTTGTCTGACTATTCTGAACTCTACTTTTTGTCTGACTATTCTGCACTCTACTTTTTATCTGACTATTCTGAACTCTACTTTTTGTCTGACTATTCTGAACTCTACTTTTTGTCTGACTATTCTGAACTCTACTTTTTGTCTGACTATTCTGAACTCTACTTTTTGTCTACTTTTTGTCTGACTATTCTGAACTCCACTTTTTGTCTGACTATTCTGAACTCCACTTTTTGTCTGACTATTCTGAACTCCACTTTTTGTCTGACTATTCTGAACTCCACTTTTTGTCTGACTATTCTGAACTCTACTTTTTGTCTGACTATTCTGAACTCCACTTTTTGTCTGACTATTCTGAACTCTACTTTTTGTCTGACTATTCTGAACTCCACTTTTTGTCTGACTATTCTGATCTCTACTTTTTGTCTGACTATTCTGAACTCCACTTTTTGTCTGACTATTCTGAACTCCACTTTTTGTCTGACTATTCTGATCACTATATTTTGTGTGATTATTCTGAACTCTACTTTTTGTCTGACTATTCTGCACTCTCCTTTTTGTCTGACTATTCTGCACTCTCCTTTTTGTCTGACTATTCTGAACTCTTCTTTTTGTCTGACTATTCTGCACTCTACTTTTTGTCTGACTATTCTGAACTCTTCTTTTTGTCTGACTATTCTGCACTCTACTTTTTGTCTGACTATTCTGCTCTCTACTTTTTGTCTGACTATTCTGCACCCTATTTTTTGTCTATTTTTTATCTCACTAATATGACATCTACTTTTTGTCTGACTATTCTGCAGTCTACTTTTGGTCTGACTATTCTGATCACTATATTTTGTGTGATTATTCTGAACTCTACTTTTTGTCTGACTATTCTGCACTCTCCTTTTTGTCTGACTATTCTGCACTCTCCTTTTTGTCTGACTATTCTGAACTCTTCTTTTTGTCTGACTATTCTGCACTCTACTTTTTGTCTGACTATTCTGCTCTCTACTTTTTGTCTGACTATTCTGAACTCTAGTTTTTGTCTGACTATTCTGAACTCTACTTTTTGTCTGCCTATTCTGAACTCTGCTTTTTGTCTGACTATTCTGATCTCTACTTTTTGCCTGACTATTCTGAACTCCACTTTTTGTCTGACTATTCTGATCTCTACTTTTTGTCTGACTATTCTGAACTCTACTTTTTGTCTACTTTTTGTCTGACTATTCTGAACTCTACTTTTTGTCTACTTTTTGGTTGACTATTCTGAACTCCACTTTTTGTCTGACTATTCTGAACTCTACTTTTTGTCTGACTATTCTGAACTCTTTTTTTGTCTGACTATTCTGATCTCTACTTTTTGTCTGACTATTCTGAACTCCACTTTTTGTCTGACTATTCTGCATTCTACTTTTTGTCTGACTATTCTGATCTCTACTTTTTGCCTGACTATTCTGAACTCCACTTTTTGTCTGACTATTCTGATCTCTACTTTTTGTCTGACTATTCTGAACTCTACTTTTTGTCTACTTTTTGTCTGACTATTCTGAACTCTTTTTTGTCTGATTATTCTGATCTCTACTATTTGTCTGACTATTTTGAACTCTACTTTTTGTCTGACTATTCTGATCTCTACTATTTGTCTGACTATTTTGAACTCTACTTTTTGTCTGACTATTCTGAACTCTACTTTTTGTCTGATTATTCTGTACTCTACTTTTGTCTGACTATTCTGAACTCTACTTTTTGTCTGACTATTCTGAACTCTATTTTTTGTCTGACTATTCTGATCTCTACTTTTTGCCTGACTATTCTGAACTCCACTTTTTGTCTGACTATTCTGATCTCTACTATTTGTCTGACTATTTTGAACTCTACTTTTTGTCTGACTATTCTGAACTCTACTTTTTGTCTGATTATTCTGTACTCTACTTTTGTTTGACTATTCTGAACTCTACTTTTTGTCTGACTATTCTGAACTCTATTTTTTGTCTGACTATTCTGATCTCTACTTTTTGCCTGACTATTCTGAACTCTACTTTAACTCTTCTTTTGTCTGCCTATTCTGAACTCTTTTTTTGTCTGACTATTCTGATCTCTACTTTTTGTCTGACTATTCTGAACTCTACTTTTTGTCTGATTATTCTGTACTCTACTTTTGTCTGACTATTCTGAACTCTACGTTTTGTCTGACTATTCTGCATTCTACTTTTTGTCTAACTATTCTGCACCCTATTTTTGTCCACTTTTTGTCTGACTATTCTGAACTCTATTTTTTGTCTGACTATTCTGATCTCTACTTTTTGCCTGACTATTCTGATCTCTACTTTTTGCCTGACTATTCTGAACTCCACTTTTTGTCTGACTATTCTGAACTCTATTTTTTGTCTGACTATTCTGATCTCTACTTTTTGCCTGACTATTCTGATCTCTACTTTTTGCCTGACTATTCTGATCTCTACTTTTTGCCTGACTATTCTGAACTCTACTTTTTGTCTGACTATTCTGAACTCTACTTTTTGTCTACTTTTTGTCTGACTATTCTTAACTCCACTTTTTGTCTGACTATTCTGAACTCCACTTTTTGTCTGACTATTCTGAACTCTACTTTTTGTCTACTTTTTGTCTGACTATTCTGAACTCCACTTTTTGTCTGACTATTCTGAACTCTACTTTTTGTCTACTTTTTGTCGACTATTCTGAACTCTACTTTTTGTCTACTTTTTGTCTGACTATTCTGAACTCTACTTTTTGTCTGACTATTCTGATCTCTACTTTTTGTCTGACTATTCTGATCTCTACTTTTTGCCTGACTATTCTGATCTCTACTTTTTGTCTGACTATTCTGATCTCTACTTTTTGTCTGACTATTCTGATCTCTACTTTTTGCCTGACTATTCTGATCTCTACTTTTTGTCTACTTTTTGT